CACACACACACACAGTTACCCGACGGATTCGTCAACGTTTCGCCCCCGGGAGCCAAAGCCACGCAGACTCGCTCGTTGAGTAAACGTTATCCACCCAAACGAAGTACACGGGCAACTTGAAAATACGATCGGTTTCATTTTGGTAGAGCTTTCATCTACACGTTCATCTGCAAGATCAAGACACATACCCGTTGCAACTCTACAGACTCAAAGCTACAAATGAAATAGCGTGCTCCTGGCCAACTAGCATTAAGTAAAATAAGGCAAGTTGACCCAGTTTAAAGCCGAATGTGGCTGACCAAACGTCAAAAAGTGTATACGTCAAATGAAGCAAAGATGCGCAACACAACCTCCATAATCTATTTAAATCGTTTTATACAGTATTGAATTACTATCAGCTATCTAAGTCACAATTAACTTACCCAATACCTAGGTGCATAATTTATCTGCAAGTCATAGTAACAGGTTACACAGTTTCCCGCACCGTCGGAATTCAAGTTGCGATTCGTATTTCATCGCACAACAAGACTTTTCATCAACGACACTTTTCAATTTGCCAAGTCTTGAGCACTCCACTCCACCTTGTTGCATCTCCACCTGCCATGGCAATTGAACTCAAGGACCTAGCGCCGCTTTTCCTCAAGACGGAGCGCGTTAATGGTGACATCGATCCCTCCGTCCTCACTAACGTATTGCGCGGCGGTCAGGCGGCCAATGACCGTCGCAAGGAGCTGCTGCAGGTGATCGAGCGTCACCCTGTACTCTCAGACCGGGACATGATGTACCGCAACCACACGGAGCGCTACAATTTCGGCGTCAAGAAGGCTTTCCACTACATCAAAGTATTGCAGGAAGGCGGCTACACGGACCCCGTGGATCAGCAGATCCTCTACTCAGCCATGGGGGAGCCCACGGCTATCGAGGTGCACCGCTCCATGTTCGTACCGACTCTGGAGAACCAAGGAACCGACGAGCAACGTGCCAAGTGGCTGCCTCTTGCCAAGAACTTCAAGATCCTTGGTGCTTATGCGCAAACGGAGCTTGGTCACGGGTCCAATGTGCAGGGCATCGAGACTGTCGCTACGTACGACAAGACCACTCAAGAGTTCATTATTGACTCGCCCACACTGACCAGTCGTAAGTGGTGGCCCGGTGGTCTGGGCAAGACAGCCAACCATGCCATCGTGCATGCGAGATTGTACTTGGACGGCAAGGACGTGGGTGTACAGGCGTTCCTGGTGCAGATCCGGTCGATGGAGGATCATCAGCCTTTGCCGGGTATTGAGGTGGGAGATATCGGTCCGAAGGTCGGATTCAACGCCATTGATAACGGATACTGTGCCTTCCATAAGGTCCGCATTCCACGTGAGAATATGATGATGCGTTATGCCAAGGTACTACCTGACGGTACATTCGTGGAGCCTCAAAGCGACAAGCTCGTGTACCTGACAATGGTACAGATCCGAGCTTACTTGATCCGCTCGCTTGGACAAGGAATGGGGATGGCAACGACTATCACTACGCGGTACAGTGCTGCTCGTGTACAAGGACGTAAAGCCTCTGGATCCCCGAAGGGAGAGTTCCAGGTACTGGACTACCAGAACCAACAACACGTTTTGTTCCCGTACATCGCTGTCTCGTACGCTGGTTTCTTCGCCGGTACGGGTTTAATTGCCATGCACGACTCCGCTCTGGCGATTGTCAAAAGTGGAGACCCGTCGTTCGGTTCCAAACTTGCAGACCTGCACGCTGTATGCTCCGGACTGAAGGCCTGGCTGGCGAATCATGTGAGCGACGGCATTGAGAACTGTCGTCGTCTATGCGGCGGACACGGCTTCACGCACTCGAGTAACCTGGGTCACTTGTTTGCTGAGACAGTGGGCGCTTGTACGTACGAAGGAACCTTCGATGTGCTAGTGAACCAACACGGTCGCTACCTATTGAAAGCTCTACACAGCGGGAATCACCTTCCTGGTAGTCCGACTGAGTTCCTGGCTAATGCTAAGACTCACTCGAACCCGAATCTACGCTGCAAGGCGCAGAAGCCCGAGGATTTCGCTGATCTGCAGCTGTTGCTAGAGGCGTTCCGTGTCCGTGCAAGTCGCGCTGTACTGACACTTGCAGCCGACATGAAGGCAAACAAGAACAACGCCAATGCTTGTATGGTACAGATCACGCGTGCATCGACGGCTCACGCTGAGCTCCTACTGGTCGAGGCGTTCGTGAACGGTCTTAACTCGATCCCTTCCGGTAAGGAGCGTGGGGCGGTGACGCACCTGTGTGAGCTCTTTGGTGTCTGGTTGATCACCAAGACTCTGGGTGACTTCCGTGAGGATGACTACATCTCTTCTAAGCAGGCGGTCATGGCTCGTCGACAGCTTGTGAGTCTGCTACCTGTTATCCGTAAGAACTGCGTGTTGCTGACGGATGCTTGGGATTTCACGGACTTCGAACTGAACTCGACTATTGGCCGCTACGACGGCGATGTTTACCGTGCAATGGTGCGTCGTACTGCTGATGAAGCTCTGAACAAAACGCAAGTGGCTGAGTGCTATGATCAGTTCCTCAAGCCTCTCCTGCAGTCGACTCTGTAAGGAATTTGGTGGAAATAGTCATGTTGACAAATTCTAAAAGTAGTGTTCTTCCTTAGTATTATTCGATCGTCTTCTATACAAAGTGTTGTGTTTGACAACAGAAATGTCATCCTGGTTCCTATTCCTAGGCATCACACTCTTCCGAGCTGCCAGTAGCGTAGACCTGGACCCAGTAGTGCTTGCTGTAGGTGTTATCGTTGTACATGTACGCCGTGCCGACCATGGTGTACTTGCCGAGGATGTTGTCGCGACTAGTTCCCTTCATCCACCAGTCCACTACAGCATTTGCGTTGGTATTTCCTGCGTCGATGCTTTCAGCCACGCTCTGCCATTTGTACCCAGCCTCGGTGACACGCTGCTTCGGAGTCGAGTCGTCGGTTCCGGTGTCAGACACGTAGTCCGTCTTGGACTGGTCCTTGACATGACGTAGAGCGGCAGCCTGTAGCTTCTTGTTCGAGCATAATGCGGGTAGTCCGTGAGCAGCGCGTTCCTTGTTGACACGAGCTAGCAGTGCGCTCGCCTGTGTGGCTGTCATTTCACTAAGGTCGCGGTTGGTTTGACGGAGATTGGTGGCATCAGAGACAGCAGAGAGACCGAGAAGGATAACGAGGGAAGACTGCATGATGGCGACCATTGTTTGTCGAGATTGATCTGGAGAAATGGTGCTGTGGTAGGGAGCGGTAAAATTAGACAATGAGCCGTGGACACAGCAACGCGGAGTCCGCAACACAGAGAGAACGTGAGATTACTGCTCTGTTACCGTCAACTGTGCACCGTCGCCAAGTGATTAAACCAGTTGGAAATTGTCTCGTAGTAATGGCCAAAAGCTTCAACTGGCTTCGTCTCGACCTGGCGTGTTCTCTTTCCAGATGGATTGTGAAATAGGGAACGAATTATTCTTGTAGCGCTTCGGTACGAAGTAAACGTGCAGCACAACTGGGATTAATTCGTGTTCGTGTGTTACAAATGCAATACAAAATTTGTTTTTAATACTATCAAGTGAATTCATTTATATTTGCCATATTCGCATGGATTTTTACGAGGTATCGAGCTGCGGAGGGAAAATCACACGTGACCGAACTTACTTACAACAAAAAAAATAATTTTCTGGGTTCTGACTATATGATGCGTTTGTATGCACCTGGCCCGCGTTTGTAGTTGTCGTTTTCGATACATTAACTGCTCCGGATAGGATCCCGCTTTCATTCATGTGCTTTTATACTACAGCGCCGTATTGATTTGCTTGCATGGCAGTAAACGACTATTGACGCAAAGCTACACTAATTCGATGGGTTAACGCCTGTGCATATCCTTGGATATGCCATTTTTCACGCCGCTTTCCTCCACGACTGGTGCGTAGTTTTGCAGGTGGATACCGTGCTCAATCCGTCATGCTCCTGTTCGTACAGGTTGGTAAAAGGTAGGTAATTTGAGTCCGGCCAGTTCGGAGCCGCGGCAGCAGAGGGTTCCCTTGGAGGGCTACGCGCGCTCGCACCCGCTCACCTCTGTTGGGTTTTGTTTGTTTTGCTTCAAGTGAATTGTGTGCAAAATGAAAAAAAATAAAAATAGACCGTATCAACATGATTTTGGTGGTGAGTTAAAATGAAGTAGGCTTTTCCTTTTCTGTACTAATTTCATGACTATTTTATAATTGGTAGGAATTTATCCGTATTTCACGGCGATAATTTCTGAAATCTGACATAGTATTATTAAGTAGACCCTTTATGGATTCTACCTAAATGTGGTTGTGCTGGAAATAGTTGGATTGTGTTTGTCAGAGCACTTCATCGGCTGACAAACAATTTTTAGAAACCGGTGCAATGCATAGATGCATACTCGGCGCCAGAGGAATTGCAAACACCCCGGTGTCTCCCATGTTGGAGACGACGAAAATCGACGCTGCTCGTGGTGTTTCTCGTGTGGGTTGTTGGAGTCAGCTAGAGGAGAAATGGAATCGAATCCAAGTTGGTCGCCGAGGATCGTACTCCATCGAGCGTCTAATAAGTCTGGAACACTATTGCAAAACGACATCGTGGACACGAGTGATTTTGGTCTGCGTACTCACACCTATACCGGTTCTGTTGGCAGCAGTACTGCTTGAATGTCTGCCATTGCGATCACCGTCCGAAGGGTGGGTAGCAAACTGGGTGTTTTGGATTCGCGTGTTTCTGACTGTCGCACTGTTAGCTTTCGGTGGAAACTCACAGTTGGCGAACCTGATTCCGGACTTGAACCACACGTTTTGTAAACAGCTGATCGTTGCTACAGGTGTGGCAGTTGGCCACATTGGCGTTTGTATATTTGCTTCATACATCATCGGGTTTCCTGTGCCACTATTAATGCAACTTGGAACTATTGCATACGGAATACTCATGTCTATAATGCTGCGCTTAGTCTTTGGATCGAGTACCTTTGTGACTGGTTCTCCATTCATGATTTACATGAAAAAGTTACATAGCTTTTTTCTTGCGTTCATGACGCTCATCATGGTATATCCTCCCTTCAAGGTGCTCTATGGTTCGGTTCCCGTTGCTTACAGAGGTGTGGTGGTTCTTGTCTTACCAATCTGGAGATTCGCTGCAAAGCAATTTATCGTCTACGCTACTCGTGACCTGGAAGATATTATGCCAGAATCGGCGGCATTCTTCGTTGATTTTTTCAGCTCGCTTTACATATCAGCTTGCATGTCATCCCCAGCACCGTTGTACTTGAACTTCTTGTTCATCGCGACAGATCTTGGTCACATACTATTGGAGATACGTGAATTGAGCTACAATGCCAAGGCTGTACAACAGTATATCCGACAAGAACTGACGGGCTCTATGCATCAAGTACCAGAACTGAAAAACATTTTGACGATAATTCTTCAAGCGATTAAAAAAAAAAAAAACGCTTGCCGGACGGAATCGGTACGTCTATGGGCATGTCTACCACATCCTCTAACAACTGAACAGACGGAACAACTCCTTCAATTGGACTCATTGGCCGTATTTAGACGGCGGAATCGATCTTCTAGTGACCGATCTACACAACAGACGATGGTGTTTCGGACCCAAAAAGGAGTAAAACAAAGCGCTTCTATTGTACCCGCTCCAAAAACGCAACACACAAAACGTTCAACGAACGTTCAAGCAGTGCATGCAATTGTATCCAACCTAGTTACGAATGATTCAGACAAGTCGGAAATGTTGATTTTACAGGGTCTGCAGTTGCTCTTTCACTGTGAATATCTCGAACTTGTTGAGTATGTCGAGTGTATTATTCCAATACTTTATGTGGTATACAGATCCACTTTGGAGCAGTTGCCGAATATTGTCTATTATCCTGATGGGGCGGGTAGCTGGGGCACACCAAGTGCAGCGAATATTCTGTTGTTGGCATTACTGGAAGCTCTCTCTCTCGCTTTTCTTCAAAGCGTTTTAAGCCGCAAATTCGCGTTTTCCGCGATGCATCAGCTTGCATTTATACTGGAAACTCACGTTTATCTGATCCAGTCGAAGCTATTTACTGGAGTCCTTCTTCTAGTACCGTTTGAACTAAAACATTTCGGTACGTATCCTTTTCCAGAAGATCCATTACTTGGATCTCTAACTTTACCTGTATTTAGGTGTCGACTTTAGTTTTCAATTCAAGTGGCTCGACGACAAGTAACTTAAGTATTTGCTATTTGAAACACATGTGGTGACTTCTTCGATCCGAAGCAGCAGCATCGCCTCATGCTGCAGACGTACCGTGCTTCCAATGGAACGTTCAAGAAGAGACTGGTTGTAACAAAACCATTTATATTTCATGTAACAAACACTGGGACACTGATTCCATTAATGACCCCCTCAAGAGGTAACGTTGACTTAGGCATCACACTCCTCGGAGCTACCTGTGGCGTAGACTTGCACCCAGTAATGCTTGTAGAAAGTGTTCTCGTTGTACACGTAGGCAGTGCCGACCATAGTGTACTGTCCAAGGATGGCGTCGTGGCAACCATCAGAATTCAGCCACGAGCTCACAACAGCATCAACAGTAGCTGATCCAGCGTCAAAGTTCTCGTCCACGGTTTCCCAGTTGTATCCAGCGGCAGTAACCCGCGCCTCAGGAGTTGAGTTATCGGTCCCAACTGCCGAAAAGTAGTCTGTCTTGGCTTGGTCCAGGATGTGACGCTCTGCTGCTTCCTGCAGCTTCTTGTTCGGGCAAAGTGGTGGCAAGCCTTTAGCGGCACGCTCCGCATTGACGCGGGTCAGTAGAGCGGCAGAATTATCGGTCTGAGGCGACGCGATATCGCTGAAGTGGAGATCTTCTTTACGGAGGCTTGCGGCGTTGGAGACAGCGACGAAGCCCAGCAGAAGCGTGATCGAAGACTTGATGGTGCCGACCATAGTTGAGTGTGTATTTGCAGTTGTTGTGGGCAGGAGGTGGTAAATTCGGGAATAACGATGTGAGTGAGAGTGAGGCCTATTGGATCGATAGAGCACCAGCACCCTTGCTTCAAGCGACGCTACAACACCACAAGTCAAGAGCAGTTGGGGAGTTGTCTACTTGTCGAGAGCTCTCATATAGGCTTTAACGTCTGCTCTGAAGCGTGCTGGACCCACAGATCTATTGGTTACACGAACAGTCTGAATCGATGATAACCAGATGGTGATGGACTGGTGATCTTCGTGACGTGACAGTTCGTCCGCACCTGTTTGACAAGTTGAAGCAGCCCTTGTGGGCAAGATCCCCATGAATATTTTATCGGTAAAGGCACCGACGCTTTTTGATAAGGTTAATTGTGAGGATATGGTCAGATTTCACAATGCTCACATGTGAACTACCTACACGAGTATCTTACAGAGCTAGCTACAGTAGCAGAATGACCTATTTCGACGTTCTAGCTCCTATTATTTCAATATTGGAGGTTTAACGAAAAGTATAGCACTGGCAAAAGAAGATAAAAAATACGACTTCTCGTTCCTTTAAGTCCATCTCTAAACACGACTGGGTGCCATGCGGGTTCCGCGATCGGTGATAGAATACGTTCTTGACAGCGACGACGTTTAGACCAACCCTGACGTGCCGTGTATGGAGCTTAGATCTGCACACTTCGTTTCTTGGGTCAGTTAATGACGTTTCAAATCTTGCGTTTGTTAGTAGAAACCAACCGCGTAGTATTCGAGAAGTTCGGTTTACCGCAAGGCATTCAGAGACCATCGAATTCCCTGAAGCTCTTTACATCTCGAGGGAGCATGATCGTTCAAAAAAAAAAGGGTCATCAAGGATATTTCAGTTTCGGTATTAGTCGCGATGGCCCTTGGACCAAGGGCTCTATATGGCCGGAGATGAGTGAAATTGGTAAATAAGACACTAGCGCGATGCTTCGTCGCCTTCCATTTTGAGTTAAATCACAGCCTGATATCATAGTAGTAGTACATATAGGAGTTACTTTTACGTAGTTGTGATTTGTAGTTGTTGTAGCTGTAGTACATTTGTACGCAAGCACTATTATGATATAATCCTCACTTCAATGCTACACAAAAGATTACTACTACTACAGTAACTTGCAACGCATAGGCACTTAGTGTTATTGATAGCAGTAGTAGCACAAAACACTGTTATGAGTACTCTCCTTGCCATCTCTGGCATTACAGATCAGACTGGATCAGAGGTTTCAAGTACTTTTCGTATCCTTCTGGAACCTCTGTCTTGTTCAGCGGCTCGTCAGCAGCGCGCTTCACCAACGCACGATAAATGTCGCCGTCATAGCGGCCAATAGTCGAACCCAGCTCAAAGTCGCTGAAGTCCCAGGCATCCGTGAGCAGCACGCAGTTCTTGCGGACAACCGGCAGCAGACGCACGATCTGCTCTCGAACAAGATCGACCTGCTGGGAGGAAAAGTAGTCATGTTGGCGGAAATCTCCAAGCGACTTGGTGATTAGCCACACACCAAACAGCGAGCACAATTGAGCCATCGATTGGTGTTCAGGACCAGCAGGAATCATGCTAACGCCGTTCACTAGAGCTTCAAGCAGCATAAGTTCCGCATGGGCGTTCGATACACGCGACATCAGCACCATACATGCGTTGCCGTTGTTCTTGGTAGCCTTCATCTGACGAGCCAACCGCAGTAAAATACGCGTAGCACGCACCTCGAAAGCTTCAACTAGCAGGTTGAGGTCATTGAAGTCCTGAGAGGTTTGTCCTGAGAACCGTAACTTCGAATTGGAATAGGTCTTGATCTTGGCAAGGAATCGAGTAGCTGGTTCGTTCTCGTCCAGTGATTCGACTGCAGCTAATACCTTCAGAAGATATCGTGCATGCTGCTGCACTAGCACGTCGAAAGTGCCCTCGAACGTGTTGGCTCCAACGATCTCGTTGAAAATATGAGCCAGATTGCCAGATTGCGTAAAGCCGTGGCCTCCACACAGTCGGCGACAGGACTCAACGCCGTCGCTCACCTTCTCGGCAAGCCAAGCCTTGAGCCCCGAAGAAACAGCGTGGAGTGTAGCCAATTTAGCACCAAAGCCAGCGTCGCCACTCTTGACAATCTCCACAGCTGCATCGTGACGTGCCATCATATCACGAGCAGCGAACTTAGCAGCATATGCGATCGCAATGAACGGGAAGAGTTTGTACTGCTGGTTCTGGTAGTCCAGCACTTGGAACTCGCCCTTGTTATCTGGAGTGCGTCCTTGGATACGTGCAGCGCTGAATCTCGTCGTGATAGCAGTGGCCTTTGCCATTGTCAACGCAAAGTTCTCCACCAAGCTGGCACGAACATGTACCATTGTCAAGTATACCAGTTTGTCACTTTTTGGTTTGACAAAAGTCCCATCCGGTAACACCTTGGCATACCTCATCATCATGTTCTCGCGTGGGATACGGATCTTATGGAATGCACAGTAGCCATTATCAATGGCGTTAAATCCGACCTTCGGACCGATATCTCCCACCTCAATACCCGGCAATGGTTGATGATCCTCCATCGACCGGATCTGCACCAGGAACGCCTGTACACCCACGTCCTTGCCGTCCAAGTACAATCTCGCATGCACGATGGCATGGTTGGCTGTCTTGCCCAGACCTCCGGGCCACCACTTACGACTGGTCAGTGTGGGCGAGTCGATAATGAACTCTTGAGTGGCCTTGTCGTACGTAGCGACAGTCTCGATGCCCTGCACATTGGACCCGTGACCAAGCTCTGTTTGCGCATACGCACCGAAGATCTTGTAGTTCTTGGCAAGTGGCAGCCACTTGGCGCGTTGCTCGTCGGTTCCTTGGTTCTCCAGAGTCGGGATGAACATGCTGTCGTGCACATCAATGCACAGAGGTTCCCCCAGAGCCCCGTACATAATCTTTTGCTCTTGTCCGTCGGTAATTTTCTGGTCTTTTAGGAATTGCACAAAATGCGAGGCCTTCTTCAGCCCGTACGTGTAGCGCTCCGTGTGGTTGCGGAACATCATGTCCCGGTCTGAGAGTACAGGGTGGTGCTCGATCATGGCCACGAGCTCTTTGCGGCGGTTATTGGCGGCCTTGCCATCGCGAAGGACGTCGGTGAGCACAACGGAGTTGATGTCACCGTTGGCGCGTTCCTTCTTGAGCAGTAGAGGGGCCAAGTCCTTGAGTTCCATGACGAGACGTGTGCACGATGAGGCTAATTGGAATGTGAGGTGCAAGTAAAGACGTATGTGTTCAGACTGTGATATATGATATTGTAGCATGAGATAGATGATGAAAGCAGCGTATTGTTATTTTCTTTTGAAAAATTGCAAGTATAGAATAAGAGTTTTCTTTTCTGATAGTTTTGTATCAGATTTGAGAGTTTGGAGTTGTTTGTTTGACGTCATCCAACCCGACTTCAATTTTGCGTAAACCGCGCAACACAGTACCGTAAACTACGTTACAGAGTGTCACTACATTATTTTTATTATTTCAAATTGACGGGACGCTCCGGAGTTCGTAGTTCGTCGTCGACGAAAAGAAATTGACACGGTACTGTGTAATGTGAAGTTGATACTTAGATTGTTCAATAAAGAGTTACACATGAACATTAAAATAGGTAATGCGAAATAAAATTGCTTGCTGACTGCGATGAATTGGTATTGGGTGTGTTGGTCATCACGGCATGTTGATTGTCGAAATTCCCGCTAGCTTGGCGTTCACTTGGCAACAGTTTCGGTAAATGCTGGCCTTGGTGGGCGAGAATGAGATGACGGCACCTGGAACTGGGAGGTTGGGATCGTTTGATGCCACTTCATAGAGGGAGACGGTAATGAGATACTGGTTTGTCTTGAAGGCATCCTCACGATGTGCAGCCTGGAATTCCTGCTGCTGTTGGCGAAGCGGTTCTGGTGCTTGCTGCTCGCTGAGATAGAGACGCAAAAAGTGATAATTTCCATTGGTCTCGGGGGCAGACCAGAGAAAGCGTCCCTGAATACAAATGGAGTCGCGAACTTCCTTTTGCGTGACGTCGTTGTGCTTGATAAAATCGCGCAGACCTGTAATACATATAAAGTGTAATCTAGTTGCATTTTTAGATCCTCACTGTATGACGTACCATCGATTGTGACGCTTGTGGTGGCTCATTGTCTTCTTCAACTTCTTGAGTGGAGACTCCTACCCGACGATCTTAGGCGTGTAGGCAGAGCGGGAAATACGTCTGTGTTTTATTGAAAGCGGCGAGTCAGAGACGAGCGAGATTGATACCGCCTGGGCTTGTAGCAGCACTAGCGGCGGACTCGTCGCTAGGCGACTTAGTTTGTTTCTTCGCAGGCATCAGCCAAAACGGAAATGGATCGACACACGCCGCCACTGGTGCTTCTTGCTGGTTGGGCGAAAAGAGATCATGGGAAAGTGAAGATCAGTTAGCGGCGCACAGGCAGGATGGTCGTAAACTGCGATAGGTTTCGCGGGACTAGGTATTGCCATGGTCCACCGCGAACGTCTTCTGCAGGTAGCTAGGTAGACTGATGTGGTTTGAGCTCTTCGAAGCTACGCACTTCTTGCCACTCGTAGCTTTCAATCTTATCATTAACAAACTATGCAATTTTTTTTCTGCGCTAAAGATATATTTTGGAGAATCGTAGTGCTCCATGGTAGATTAAAAAAAAATCAATATGATTCTATCAAATGTTGTGCTAAGTACGAGTTCGAATTAGACGATTATTTTCTAGATTGTAAACGACCGAGCGCGTTGGACCAAGGCGGACAATGTTCGATAGAAAAGAGAGAGACTGGTGGTTGGTCGTCCGAAAGAAGAACCGACTTGGTGGTGAAAAGGATAGACTATACGTTTATAGTGTCCGCGCGTCTTTGAACATTGCAGATGCCTGGAGGCAACAGCACGAATACTACTACGACAAATGTGATTGGTACCGTTGAACATGCCTTTGCATCCGTTCGCCTTGTTAAGGCCAATGTTTGTGCAGGTGGTGCGTGGTTAACAGATTCGAAGGTGAGTGAACTGGTTGATTAGTGAAGTCGGTGATAGTGCTAGTGATCGGAATGATTGACGCCTTATGTGTACATTCGTGTGTGTTACAGAACAATGTCCAGGTGAGGTAGAGCTGTATTGATGTGAATTGTGTGTGTATTTGACGTTGCCGTTATGGCTGTTAACGTCTATAGCTTGTGAGTGAGTGTTTTTGCGGCACTCCTAGTTGCAGTGGTGTTATTGGCGTTCAACGGGAGAGCACGGAAGTCTACACGTTACCAGTGACAAAGCGTAAGATGGTTCAGCTGACGATGGATCACTTTTTAGTGAAGCCCTAGCTGCAATCGTCAAAGCATGCGTGTATATCTGAGTCATTATAAGTTGTACTTTCATTTTGTATGGTCAATCTTGTTTGAATTGAAAAAAAAAAACCTTCATAGCAGAAGCAAAAGCTACACATTCTTCGTCTCGATGCGCGCGACGATCGTGCTGAAAGATAAAGAGACGGGTGCGCTATTCTTTTTTGTTGTTCAAGTCTTCCGCGTTGTTCTTGTTGTCCAGCTTCTGTAGTTTTATACGTATCGCGGTGGCTGACTTTTGTACGGCTCGACAATATTCTCTTCCACTGCGTTGGGAAATGATCAACGGCAACCTCCGCCACCCTATGCGAGTGACGATCGTATTGACGATAGTCGAGCTTGCGTTTTCGTGAATCACTGCTCCTTCATTGGTGTGATGATTTCATGCTCATCAAATTGCTATGACCATTAGTGCTGAAGAGCGACATGAGCGAAACCGGCTGGCGGTTCTACGATGGCGCGCCCGTGAAACGCCAGATGCTAGATCTGAACGACTGCGCCGTGATCGGGAGCGGTATCAGCGTAGGTCGGGTTCAGTTGTTCCTGAACAGCATTCTTCGACCACGTCATGCTCTATTTACATACATCCGACAACACCAGCACAGTTGAACAACAACAGTCGCCGTTTTCATGCAGATTCTGTGTGGGGACTTGCTAACGAGATTCCGAGGATTTACCCAGTCGCGGCAGCTTCCAAAGAAGACTGTCTTCATCGTCTGCGTCTTGATCTGGGCGCTGTTGGACTCGATGACGTAGCTTGTGCCGTTTGCGACCGAAGCCAGCTGAGCAAGTCATGCCGTGTGATTAAAAATCTCGGACCTCAACCGGATGCAGCCGCTACAAGAGATACTGTCAAGCGAGGGTGAGGGACTACCAACAGAATTTGTTGCGGATTGTGACTGCTCTGCCCTGACATCGATTTTAGATGGCGTTCTTCTATCGAAGCGTGGTGTGCGTCGCGACGGTAATTTGAACGTTTGCCAGGAGTGCAACGACAGCTTGGCGAAGAGATCGATCCCTAAGTTCTCCATTAAAAACGGTTTTTATGTGGGCGAATTGCCGACTCGCTTCTCAGACATGACACTCCCCGAGCGTCTCATGACTCAGACCGTGTCTGTCGTCGCAGTCACCAGGGTAATGCGAGGCGGCGCTCACCGCTCAATCCGCTCGCATTGTTTGGCATTCGATGCAATACCGGGCCCACCCGCTACATTGTTGCCGATTCCTGTTGGCAACATTTCATCATACCGTGTAGTGCTGGCCGGGTCATTTACGCCAGAGCAGCATGCGCGCGTCCGTCAAATGCATCGTGCACGTCGTCAGGTTGTCAACGACGTTCTTCGCTTCTACCAGCAACACAATGAATTCTACGATGGCATTGTCGTCGACAGTTCCGAGATTCCGGTTGATGCCATCGCAGAGAACATGATTTTCGAAGACGTCGAGGCAGATGTAGAGCTCACAGAAATGGGCGCCGGACATGATTGATTCGGCACCAAATGGGAGAACGATACTGTATAGCATTTGTGTAGCCGGACATGCAAAAAATGCATACAAGCAAAAAACTGACCAGTGAAGTTAAAACCTCAATTTCAAATTCAATACTTAAGCAAATCACATATGGCAACGTTACCTACTCGACATCTGCTTGAAGCCTGTCAATTATGTCGTCGGAGTCGTCAATAGTTTCTTCAACAACATTCGCCAGTTCCAATGCCTCCACCAAGTCGTTTTCCGGTTCTATAGTCTCAGTAACGGCGACAGCAGCACTGCTTCCGACCTTATGAAGATCTGAAAAGCCGCTTCGAATGACACTGCTGCCCAAACTACGCCATGAGCTCATAGCCCATGTGATTGCATCTTTTCGTTTCGGAGCGACTAGCTGGAAAGGGGTTTGCTCACGCTGCTCGTGGTGCGCCCGGAGCTGTTGCTGTAGTTCATTGACCCACTGACGTCGAAGCCGCTGTTTGAATGGACGAAACCACGAGATGTCTGCCGGTTGGCAGACCGAGGTGAGCCCTGGGGGAACCGGCATTAGATGCACACTTAGGTTTTTGGCGTGTTCTTTAACTTCATCTGTCCAATGCGCCGAAAAATCGTCCAGTAGAAGAAGGACTGGCAAACATTCCTCGCGATTAGCGAAATGATAGTCTAAAAAACGAATGGACAGGTCCGATGTCCACCAAGCAGACTCATTGCCATAAATCTGGGCACCCACAGCTTCAGAAAGTGGAGCTATCTCTTTCCACAACGTGTTTCCGAATCCGTTTTGCTTGACCGTGTTGTAAGCTGCCTTTACTTCCTTTTTTGATGGTTTGGTCCTTACAACGAAGAAAGGGTCGTACTGCTTACCGGTTGAGTCCGCCATAAACATACCCGTAAAACGTTCTTTGTCTTTTCCGCCGCATCTGACCCAGACAGTTTTCGGACCACGCTTGTTAATAGTTCTCTTAGGTAGGTATTCAAAACACACACCGCTTTGGTCGGCGTTAAATATTTTGTCCACACCTAGTTCAATCTTGGTTTTTGCAACTTCCTCCCAAAATGCCTTTGCATCAGCCTCCATGGCCTCCGGCTTCTTTTGGCCTTGTCGAGTTTTAGCGCGTAGACTTAGCTTATGACGACGGAGAAACCCTTGCTGCCATGTCCAACTAGCTTCGAATGTACCATCCGGGACCTTTTCGTCTTCGGCTATGGTCTTGGCTTTAAGCTCCAGCATTAGCCTGGATACAGGGACGCCTTCCTCACGCAGTGACTTAATCCACTCGGTAATAGCTTCTTCACCTGCAGCAGAGATTGTAGTTGCAGTGTCTGCACCTCGAAGAACCTTCATACTGGCCTTGGTCGAGGACGTGCAGACAGATTCAATACGAGATCGATCTTTAATCCACTCGTAAATTCTTTTGCGTTTGTTTTCTTGCTTTTTTGCTGATAGATGGTCGTAAAACTTGTCTAACGTGGCGGGCATTCCGTTCGTGTCGTGAAAGGTGATCACCTCTAACCGCTTTGCGTACGAGTCGACCTCTCTCTGGTAGCTACTTGGCTGGCGTCCTCGCCCTCCGGGCGCACGCTTGCGGCCGCGCGTCATTGCGTTCTGCCTAATTATGGCTACACACAAAGAGCTGCGAAATGTACATAGCCCAATCAAAAATAGGTTAAAAATAGTCCTGTCCGCTTGAAGAAATGATCAATGGTGTCATTGTAACAAGGGTTTTCTCTGTACATTTCGCGTTTGTGATTGGCTATTACGAGTGTCCGCTTGAACAAATTGTCCGGCTACACAAATGCTATACAGTACATCCAATACCGAGACCGATGTCGTCGAACGCCGAGTTGTTTTCGTCTCTGATGACAGGGAGGTGAATACGCAGAAGACTCCGTCAGTCCAGCGATACGAACAAGCGAGCCAAAGCGCATTTGAGCCACAATTTCTTGTCCGGCATTCAAGTCAATTCACAGAACAGAACGGGGCACTTTTCGCACGCATGTTCCCGCACTTGTTCCCCTATGGATGCGGACACCCAGGCAAGCCACGACACGTGCCTGTGGCGCTCAACGCCTGCGTTCGGTATTATAGCTTGTTAAGCACCAGGCGGTTCGCGGAAGATGAACTCTTCATGCTTGCCAGCTTCAATTACTTGTCCATTCACAGGATGTACACGCAGGTCGCACTGAAATGTCAGCGAAACCCTACCATGTTTGAACCATACGGTGACATCACTGAGAGACAGGCGTTCGCATATCAAGCACGCTATGGCCAACCAGCGCTTTTTGTAACGCTGACCCCGAATGTCGCCGAATCGCTCGTCATGGCGCAATATTGCGGGATTACATCCGTCGACACACTATTTTACGCCGCATTGGCCGATCCACCCGGACGCTCAGCGCTGCACAGTGCAAGCGTGCGCAACGACGTCGCGTCCGCTCGGTTGTTTATGCGCAACATGGATGCATTCATCGAGCACGTGATCGGTGTTGCGCCCAAGCACATGAAGTCCAAACCTTTTGACAGTCTTTTCGGTGAAGTAAGGGCGTACTTCGGGATGGTTGAGACTCAGGGGGGCGGCATGCTGCACGCTCACTTCCTGATCTGGCATGTAGATGTGCCTCCCAACACGGACACTTTCTACCGAGCGATGGCAGCCCATGGTGAGCAGTATTATCGTGATATCGAGGCATTCACGGACAGCATCGTGTCGACATCGATGCCAATCCGTGTAGAAGACTCATCGTGCGTATTCTGTGGGTATTCGTATGCGAATCTCTAGGAACTCTTGATCCCCTCTGAAGCATTTAAAGATCCCTACAAGCCACAACGCGGTGGTAACACGCGCGGTGAGCCGGTCCTCGTGCGATGCTCGCGGTGCGGCACTGAGCTTAGCTCCCAACATGTGATTCGGCGCCTATTGCTTGAACATCGACCGTCTTCATGGCCGCCTTCAATGCGGCCATATTCCTCAGCTGAACATGCGATGGCCGTGCGGTTGGTGACGCCACGTCGCGGTATCATTCCAGCTGCTAAGTCAGCTATTTATCGGCGAGATCTGTATTTATTCGACGTGCACACAGCCGATGTGAAAGAAGCCTACCACGAGGATGAGTATGTAAATTACCTTCGCGATTTGAATCGTGCTCCACATCGACTCGAGCAACGCGAGAACGATGCCTTTCACAACGACGCAGTCGCTCGAACACTGCCAATGTTGCCTCCATCGATCAGTGACGAACGGTGGATGCCTCGTGCCGTCGCGTTTGCAGTTTCCATGCTCGTCTTTCTCTTTAATATGCACTGGTGGTCTTACGTGGGGAGTTGTTTCAAGAAAAGTCGTGCAGCGGCCTCCGGCGAGTGCCGCTATGGATTTCCACGAAGTCGCGTTGCGCGGTCGACTAGCTCGGACGACGGCGTTCTGATCAAACATCGAACCCCATTTGAGTTCGTTAACGGCTTCAATCGCGAGATAATGCTTGCATTTTAGTCGAATCATGACATTCAGGTCGTGACCGGTGGTCACAATGCGCTCCTGCGCATCTATTACGCTACGAAGTATGTGACCAAGATGCAAGAGCAGGTTGACTCAGGTTGACTCAGTAACCGCTGTCGCGCTCGCCGCGTTCAGGCGGCGCCAGCTACGAGAAGCACGCAACGCCAATAAGGACGCGGAAGCGCAATCCATCGGTTCTCGGCAACGAGCGGCAATCGGACGCCGACGTGTAGCGTCGCTTTTGTATGAAATCACGAATCGGCGAGAAATTGCAGGACCTCTCGCCGCTCTGTACGTGCTACGTGGGTCGTGCGCATACATGAGTACATCGTGTGCATCGTTCCCACTTTGAAATGTGCTGCATGAACTCGTAGAGCAACAGTCCCACCCGTGCAACCTCGTCGAGTTACAAACGAGTGGTATGGACGGTGTTACCTTCCGAGCGGCTTCATTTCTTGACGACTATTTGTTCCGACCGGCGACGCTCGAGGAAATCAGTATATACGAATTTGTTGCTACGCATTTCCGTCGGAAGCCCAACCACGGCGCTTTTCATGTCGGAGCACCCGCTTTTCAACTCGCATTGCATCGCCTTACGCGAAAACGAAGTCGTTCCGGTCCTTGTGGGCATGCGCATGCCTTTCATCGACGCCGATTCATAATCCGAGCTTGTTGTACAGCGTAGCCAGTGTGCACTTGTACTGTTTAAGCCGTTCCAAGTCGTAACAAATCTCGTTGCCAAACCAATAAGCTGCACAGCGTGGAACGAGGCGTACTCACAGTGGCAGCCCACGTGCGGAGCTTTCACGAAAGAGATAATGGCAAACATGGACGACTACAGCCGTGCCAAAAACCAAGCAAAAGAGAGCGGTGAAACAACGGAGGCTGCGCTTGGAGTTAATAATAATAGTGAGAACGACGATGACGACCTCACGGGAACGCGCGATGATGTCGACGCAGCACTTAATCGCGCGAATTCCGCGTGCGAGCCCGCTCGAACTCCAGCTGCCGCCGAAACCGACAGTTTATACCATCTCTTCGACGGCGATGGCAGTGATATTGACGAATCGACTTCGGAGCTCACGTCGAATTTGCCGGTTTTCCCGAATGTTGCGTCAGCCATTTCCAGTAGTAGGTTCCACGGCCTATTGGGCACAGTCGCTCAAACCACAGCAAGTGTAGCCGTGGAATCGCGTCGCCACATTTCAGCAGTGTTTGACATCTCGCTTGGAGAACTACAGCGATTCGTTAACGATACTTTGAATGACGAGACAGAGCCACATCGCTCGGAACCATTTGGAAACGTGCGACCCACCGAAGTCATTGCCCTGCTTGAAAATGAACTCGAGAACGTCTGTGAATGGTCTCCGTTGCCGCCACAACCACCTCCTAACAACGTTTCCCCATCGCCACCTCTGCGATCGTACGCGTCAATCATGGAAGTCTCCCGAGCGTTCACGCTCAATCACCGGCGGTACCGGCAAAAGTCGTGTGATTGATGCCGTCGACGCGCTCTGTAGAAGCTGGCACCGCGGCGACGCAGTCCTGAAGACGGCACTGACGGGCAAGCCCGCGACGTTGATTGGGGGACGAACGCTCGCGAGTTTCCTAATGCGCCTTCAACACGCCATCAATGAGAAGCGTTTTACTTCGTTAGATCTCCTCGTCATCGATGAAGTCTCTATGATGACCAAGGTCGAGTGACTGCGCCTCGACAAGTTGCTCCGGCGATACAAACAAGTACCCGGTGTACTATTCGGTGGCGTCCACATCGTGCTCGTCGGCGACTTTCTGCAGATGCCACCGGTGATGGCCGATCCGATCTACCTCGACCCACTCGACAAACCGCGAAAGATAACCACCGCCGACATTGAAGGGTTCGAGCTGTGGCGCAAGTTCACTACCGTCATCATCCTCGAGGAGTCGGTGCGCTTTCGAGGTGATCCAGAATGGGGAGAGGGCTGTCGCCTCGCACGACTCGGGCAGTGGACCTCCGCATTCATCGACCTGATTAACAGCCGTGTGATAGATCACGGCGAGGGCCACCAACGCGAACACCAAGGACACAGTAAACCACACATCACAATTGGCGCCGACGTTGTGATTGTGACGCCTGAAAACGCAACGCGCCTTGTCATCAATAATGCCTTCGTCACCGAAACGGCAGTCATGCTACCGACTGACGTGTACCCTGTGCGCGTCGTCACAAATTTCAAAGGAGCCTTGAATGGCCTCAGCTGCAATGATGTCCGCTATGTCCTCAGTCTTCCCGATAACCGCTTCGGCCGCATGGTCCAATACCTGGACCTCGTCCATGGTATGCCCGTCCAGATCACCCAAATATTGCGACGGCAAAAGGAGCTGCGAATGGCACTCTCGGTAGTCTCGAGGCAGTGCACTTTCCCTCCTGGAATGTGCTTTCGCCTCGTTCGCCACGGTGCGACAAATACGATCGTTCAATTGCCGAACCAGCCGCCGGACTACGCAATTCTTCGCGTGCCAAACCGACCGCACGCTACAGCGATCCGACCAGAACTCGACCCTGAGTTGTTTCCCGTATTCTACGCGACGGAGGCATTCCAGAAGGTGACCATCACGCTCCCCAAAGCGCCCAACAGCCGCGCTCGCGCGATCACAGTAAAACTTCAACAACTACCCTTCGTATGTGCCATTGGGTCGGCTCGTAACACCTTCGTTCAGTGAATTCATGCACATGTAGCAACACCCAAAACTTCAAATATAATGATCTGCCTCCTTGCTTGCTTCCATCCGTAAGACGTAGATCTCTCACTTAAAAAAAAAGGCGGTGCGCACAGCTCTAGTTGCACCCACACATGAGCTTCGCCCAAAAAGCCGAAAGTTGAAGAGCTCCTGGCCCTTCAGCATAGCCTCAAAGATCCATTCACTGTCGCCACCGCAGCTTGTTGCCTTGCTAGAACGCCGCTCACCGTTCGCCGTTACCAGGTCAATGCCTTCATCACCTAGTGAAGCCGTCAACAACTTGTTGCGAGTTACACGCTGACGCCTCGACATCACCGTATATAGTCCCTTGGCTTCGTCGCCTATAAAAGCCGTCAACTGTCCGCTATCGCTGCTTGCCCGGCTTCACTCGAAGAGACACACTGGTTAGTTTGGTGCGATTAGACTAAATATCAGTTGATTACAGGTCGATTTTGTGGCACAGGTGTATCGATATCGGTACAATACCGGTACCATCGGTATTGACTACGTTGCTCAATTGTTGCTGAATGATGCTAAATGTTGCTGTTAGTTGCCCGTTGTCGCACCAGTGGGTCGCACGAAAGTCGTACGATTACAGGAAAAACCCGCGGTACACCCCTTAAGCACGGTTCTCCTAAAGTCGAACTGCACATATGACCAGGTAGCCATGGCGATGTTTTGACACAATTCACGCTTGGGAGGCGTCGACCATCACAAAGAAATAGCAGAGTCGACTGACCCACCAAGAGTTGGAGGAGTAAGAACGGGATGATCGCCATGCAGAACCCAAGTTTACGCTCTCTTAACCGACTAACCGATCTGTCTGTCGGTCCATCACTTCTTTTAGCCTATCTATCAGTCGCTATTAACTCTGAAACCGATTTACGATGTTGACTTACATCACTATCCAGACGGGACCAGGCAATCGATCGGGACTAAAAAAAAAAACAATCGGATTGGCTACGCTAACAAGTTTTCGGACTTTACATCGATCATTAGCGCGAGAATCTGCGACACTGACCTAATCTGCAGCACGATCAGGCCCGATTACATCCCACTGATTCGATGAGAGGCAAACATTTCTTCAAGAGAGCGAAACAAACCGACTGCATAAAAAACAGTTTGCGTACCTGCATGACTTTAAATAAATTACATTTTGCTTTACAAAATATGTACTGTATACTGCAAATCCGACATTGTAATTTCTCTTTGCAAGTACTCCAAGCTTCTTTGCAAGCTCTACTGCAATCTTGTCAGTGTTGGCAAGTGGCTGGTTTTTGGTTGAACCAGGTTTTACAAAGAACCTGGTTGAACCTAGTCGAAAAACCAACATTAACCACAACAACCTGGTTATTGATCAGATTGAATCAGATCGGATTGTCGCCGATCTTTAAATTTGACAAAACGTACACAAACCACGCAGTGCTTGAAGCAGAAGTATGCGGTCTCACCTGATCCCAAAGTTACTGTACCTGTGGCTGTAGCTAGCTACCTCGAAGTACCTCGTTGTTTGCCAGCCAGAGCCTTTTGTGGTGACACTGGCTGGTGTGAACAACTCGCCTGCGCGCCCGTCATTACTATTCTATCTTCCTCGGCACAACATCTAAGCTTCCTCATGGGGCAACCAGCGAGCAATGAGCGCTCGGAGTTCGTCGAGAGGGAGCTTGACTGTGGGAATAACCGGACATGGCGCGTGTGCAAACACTGTCATCGCGCCTACACTGTCCCTCAAAGGCCCGACGGGACGTACACTCTCCAAGAGCCCAAGAAGATTAAAGGGAGGATCGAGAATATCCGGGCTCATCTAAAGCGTTGTCAGAATTTCATTGCTCATGTTCAATCCCGCGCCACGACTACGTCACCCACGGTTATCAGTTCTACGAACGAAACGCCTGGACTTAACGCGGAAAATACGGTGCCTTTACAAACTAGGACAAAAAGGCAGCTTCGTTTTGAGAACTTTTACCCTAGCTTCTCTCAAGAGGAAGAGCGCAAGTTGTTTGAGCAAGTTCTCTTGGAGTTACAGGCGGACAACAATCTACCGGACACATTTATCGAGCGTAAATCGACCTACCGTCTGCTACATTTAGTACACAGCATGACAATCGACGTAGCGCCGGTGCCAAGCCGCAAGAAGTTGGGAGGGAAAGTACTGGCAGGAGCTTGTGAAGACGACGACACTGCGGCTCTAAAAGAATGACAACAAAAAAAACGGAAGACCGTGTCAACTTCGTCTCCGATGTTTAGAAGATGCAAGACGAAGGTTGGAATGTCGGATCTGGTGTTACTGACAACGCTGAGCAATGCGGCCGGGCGCGAAGAATTCTGACACTTCGATGGCCTCAGGTCGCTTTCTAGATTTCCTTTGCCCACGACTTGAACAACCTGGTGAAGGCCATCTTGAAATCCGAGTGTTCGACTGTAGCTAGGGACGCCTCGGACGCCAGGAACACCATTAACACCTTTTCATCGAAGTGGCTACAAGAGGCGGAGCTGTGCATGCGAGAAACCTATGGCTACGATCTGTGTCTTCAGCAGTTGGGTAAGACCCGCTGGAACAGCACGCACGTGTGCTTCGCGTCATTACTTCGAGTTTACAGTGCACTGGAGATGCTGGAGCTGAAATTTAGAGACAAGGACGACTTCCCAAACAAACTTCGCGTGTTCGGCCGAGCTACGTTTTGGAACACGTTAGCCGATGCCGTCCGTCCGCTATCATATGCATCTTTCAAGTTGGAGAAAGATGAAAACACGATGGCAGACGTTGTCGTCTGCTATCTCGACATTTTTACGGGCTTTTCAAGGAGCCAATACACGAGTTCAAATCTCAATCGTGAAGTGGAGAAGCGCTGGCTGCAGTGCGAGCAGCCACTGATGCTGCTGGCGTTGTTTTTGCATCCTGCTCACAAGGAGCCTGGGAAGCAACTCGTGGATAAAAGGCCTCTAACTTCAGTTGGTTCGCTTTGCCGGATTGGGGTTTACTACTTTAGACGCTTCAACCTCAGTGATGACACTACGCGGCTTTTTGAAAACCTACATTGGTGGAACATGGGTGAAGACAGCACGATACTCTCATTTGCGGGTTTTTACCTCTCTCCACAGGTACTGGCTCTGTACGCGTACGGAAATGCGGGGTAGCAAGTTACCGACCTTAGCTGTTGCAATACTGTCAATTGTGGTCAATACTGCCACCTGCGAGCGCTACTTCAGCGAGCTGGCACTCATCCACACTGCTAAACGAAACCGAATGGATCCAGAGAAGGCCAGAAAGCTGGCCCTAGTTCGAAAGCGAGTCCGAGAAAATGGCTGTGCTGATTCTGGTGGTGTTTCAAAGAGAAGACGGTTAACTGATCCGACTGAACGTAAACGGCTTCGGGATCGTGATGACCGCTTCACGTGCTGCAATGGTGAAAGCGATATGGCCTTCGAAAGTGTTGTGGGCTCTGGTTGTGCGTTGCAGTTCTGGGCTGACGTTCTTTGTGAGCTAGAGAGCGACGACGACCCTCCGGTTGTGCTTGCCGTAAACAATGCAGACACTGCCACTGCAACAACCGAGGCGGAAAGGTTCAATATAAAAGTGATGGAGATTTGAGCTCAGTCGTTGGCGCCGATTCCTGAACCAGATCGAACGCCATTCCCAAGTTTCAATGACTGGTATTTCCCACAAGAAAAACCTTTGCCAGGATTGTGTGGGCAAAAGGTTTCTTTGGCAGAGCTTTTGAAGATATCGGAGCCTTCGGTGAGCCAGCCAGGTAATTGTCTTTGCTGCTGTTAATTCTCAGTACTGGTATTCACTTTGCTTTTTACGACCAACGGTGTGGCATTTTGTAAGCCCATCACCGATCCAACGCAGGCATTAGCGCTGTTTGTGCTGGTGAATATCACGTGAGCGCAGTGTACGAGCATCTTGTTAGTCGTTATCACGATCAAATAAAAAAATAACACCTTCCTTTGATCTTGATGTATTGATCACATTACGTTAATGGCGAGCTCGTCGGCAGTGCCATCGACGTTCGTTCACTAGTTGCTCGGCCTCGATTCGGTCAACAAGCTGCACGTCAACGCCTTGACCCAACTGACCCAGCTGACCCAGCACTAGAGCTCGACTTGGCACTTCGATGGCACTGGCGATCTGGGTCGAAAATACAGTGTGGGTCTTCGGGGTCGGTTGTTCGTGGCAGCCCACGAAACTGCCGCTCTCGGAACCTGAGCTATGGCGGCCGGAAACGCCGCCGTTACCCGAGCTGCGGGAGGCTTGGCCTCCTCAATGAAGCGGTTGCTGATCAGCGCGTACTCCTTGTCCGTCTTCATCTTCTTTAGGTTGATGTTCACCATGTCCTCCTCGCTCATAGCCGCATCGACCATCTCCTAGAGTAGCTTGAGGTGAATCTCCGAAATGCTCTTCTCGAACTTCAGCAGCCCCACGATCCTCCGCTCAGACGGGTGCACAGCATCATCCTGCTTGTTCTCATTGCCGCTGCCCTATGGCTCAATGACGGGAGGTTCCGACGTGCCATCTTCTTCTGCATTTCCGTAAGAGCAGGAATGCGCTTGAGGGTGTCCTCGTCCCAGTTAATCTTCTTGTCCTTCGTCTTGAGGTTCTGGATCTCCTTGCGTCTCGGATCTACTTCTCCACGCGCTCGATAACCAGCTTGAGCTATTCGATCTCCAGGTGGACCTGGATGCTCGGTGGCAAAATTATCAACGCCTTACGGTCGTCGTAGTTCCGATCCTTCATCAGCTTCTTGGAGCCTCCTGTTCAGCCCAACTCGGTAGAATAGGCTTCTCGCGTTCACAGCGGCGGCTCTAGGTCTTGCCAAACTCCACCGGTTACTTCCTGTGCTCGGCCTATGTCTGCTTTTAGCTGTCGATCAGACGCTGCTCGATGAAGTCGGCATCCAAACGACGTAACTGCGCCTCCTTGGCGACCAATGGCTTCTCCGTGGGGAACCTGCGCAAGTTGAGGGCACGCAGTGAAGAAAATTTAGAGTGCACAAATTGGCAATTGCTGGATGTACACCAGCACTACGTAAAACCAAAGAACCACAATAACCTGGTCGTCAAACCAAAAAATTAGGCGCATTGGTTGATGTGGTTACAAAAATCATGGCTTTTTCCATCGAAGATATTGCCCCCCCCCTTCTAAGATTGGTAGGCCAGCGCTACGTCTAACGAACGAAAACAATAATGAACAATAGTGGCGAGTTAGACGGTAGAGACAACACGTATTGGAAGAACGACGAGGATGGAATTGGGCTGGACAGTACGTGTAGGAGTAATATCTGCACCATGGCAAGGGCGGTCGACACGGATGGAGTATCGATAGTGACCGCTAGGTCTCAGTCGGTGAATACGAACGATTGTTTCAGAACGAAAGGGCCGTGAAAGCTCCTTAATATAAAGAAGTTGTGAAGCAGAGCGCTGCCTGGATGGGCAAACCCGAGCGAGGAGATGGCCACGCGTGAGGCGACACGGTTGCCAGTGATCGGGAGCACGAGACCGAGCAGTCTGGACGGCACCGAGAGCTCGTGGAAACTTAGCGAGGGCGAACCGGCTGGCGATGACGGCAAATGGTTAAATTGCCATCAGGCGGCGACTATTTGCGTTTGAATTTAGTTTTTATTGCCTGGAACGGATGGCCCGGACGGCGCGGACGATCCAAGGGTAAGGCTGGGTAGACACTCTGAAATATGCGCTGAAGAACGGAAGTGATTTTGGAACGTTTGCTGGAGACAGCACACAGGCTCTGGAATCCGCGTTAGTGAGCTTTGGAACGAACACTAGTGAGTACATTGATAAATCGATGGTGTGTCCGGCACGCACGAGCTGAACGGTAGTCACTGGGTCTTGTAACGACAGGCACCCGTGGTAAAACTGAATCAACGAGCTGACGGCGGCATTGGCAATAGGCAGTACACGGTAGGTGGGTGATTAGTGACGCGTAGGACAAGTGGCATTATACTGCAACGGCGGTCCGAGTTTGTGTTCGTGAGGGTAGGTGCTGGGGGCGTACGTCCGAGTAGTTAAGTAAGCATCGGCCGCGGACTCTACGAAGGGTATCGGTGCTACATAAACGTGTAGGATGAGTCGGTGTCGTAGAAAGTGTTTATGTTGCTTAGTTTAAACGTAAACAAAATAGGTGTCACTGTCAGTTGGGCACGCACCGATGCAGCGAACGCAGTTACTCGCTGTCGGGCAACAGGGCTTTGGACGCATATCAGCATTGTCGACGACCAAAACCGGCGTGCCAGGTAAAGGGAGACACGTTACAGATGTATACCTCGCAATAATGTTTCTATCGGGCAAATTATACTTACTATTCTTTTCTTGCTCATTGCGACCCTAATCTTGAATTTTGGTCTGAATCACATTTCCACATGATAAGGACAACACTTGAGACGCGCTGCCTACTGGGGCTACTTCAGCTGCATGTGAATAATTAAATATGCAGGGCACGACTTTGTAAGCATTAAGAATGTTTGATTATTTGTTGTTGTTTTTTGTTAGTACATTTTTTTTACTTACAATTGAGTAATGTTGCCTGCTCCTCTCTCTCTCTCTCTCTCTCTCTCTCTCTCTCTCTCTCTCTCTCTCTCTCTCTCTCTCTCTCTCTCTCTCTCTCTCTCTCAAAGACAGTACATCAATGGTCAATGTAATCAGAACTAGGTTCTCCGGTACACTGAATTCAATTCATGCCGCGAAACTTCATGTCACTTCATGATGTGATGTTTACTTCCCAATAGTAGCTTCGTGAGATCCGATGCTGTGGCTATGAAGAGCATGCAGAATATCATATTCAATTCAACCTTTTGTTGTGGTGATAGATACACGATTTCTAGAGGTCCTGAATAGCAAGGGTACTCTAATAGTTTAAAATGTTTACTTCCAACTTTCATGCACTAGCTTCGTCAACGCTAATACCACCATTGCACGCGAACATCGAGTGGCGAAAGGCTCTAGCCTGGTTGTGGAGATACAACCACTATTCACTCGCTCGAATTTCTATTATACAAAGTGAAGAAAATTAAATGATATTAGAAGACAGCAAAAGCTTTTGAAATAGTGATTCGTATTTATTACGGTATCATGTATTAGCATGTATAGTAATCTGAGATTGTCAGTACTTTGTACCAACGCTTGCTCTTTAATACTGCTCAAAGTACTACAGTATCGAGTAACTTAGAACAACGTAGAAACTATTGCTCATGAAGTAACTGGTAACTCAGATTACAAGGTGATCTTAGTGTCAAGTAACTGTCAGAGTACTGTCTTGCAGCAGGTGAATCCAGAAGCTGCTAATCAGCGCGAGCATTCTCTTCTTACCAGTATACAAATGCCAATGGCCTAACCAACAAACAGCTGTACATACGAATATGAGTTTTATGCCAGGTTATTTTTCATGCGAAAACCATAATTCGGTCATTAAACTATTGTCTGCGTCATTAAGGCAAGACTCGATACCATGTAACGAGCTGGTGACGACTGCTATAGAGCTGGTGGCACTTGCAGACTAAGAATGTGGAATGTCTTGAGGGGCTGGCGACATCGTCATCACAGCAGGAGACAAAGAAATGGTTCACCGACTGGAATGCTCGTTTCAGGAGCCAAACCCGAGATGGTTCTACACAATTCAACCTCTATCGAAAGGTGTTCTTGTAACGCACCCGCGTTGATTGTATTATTTAAATCTTTAGGATTATGGTACGGTTTACTGGACGAGTTACAGGTTAGTTTACGGGACGTTCGTAAACTAATTTACATTTAGCAATGAGTGGTTAGTAGATAGTTTAGACACAAAAGATTGTAGACTTTTAATTTACTAATATCACTTTCCAATTTGCATCCTGCAACACAAGCTTCCTCTACGTTACATAGTGGCGCTTGGAGAGTCCAAGCTTCGACTTGTCCTACTTCGACCATCGTGCCGGTACTATTTCAAGATCTGCATCACAGTGATGGAACAGACCACCACTCCGTAGACCTTCGGGGAATTGCTTCAGCTCCTCGCACGTCAGCAGACGGAATTTCAAGCTATGATGCAGCAGCAGTACGCTGCTAGCGAGGCTCGCATCGACGCGCTCGCTTCTCGGCCAACAGCGGCACGAAAGCATCAGCCACCAATTTACCAAGGTAATCTCGATGAAGATCTCGAGCTTTGGTTTTTCGCGATGGAACAATATCACGCGGACTATCACCCACAGATGACGGAAGAGTCTTCTCAGTTTGTGACTATGGCGTCTACTCATCTGGGAGTGACCCCACTCAACTGGTACCGTCGATTTTCGCTGGAATGTGAAGCCTCGGGTCGAGTGAAGTCGTGGACAATTTTCAAGGATAGCATGCGCCAACGCTTCTTACCTCCAGACAGTGAGTATCGCCTCCGTGAACGGCTATGTGCACTGAGTCAGAATTCGTCACTCCACGATTACGTGGCGGAATTTCAATATCTGCTCATCCAATGCACGGTGCCAATTAGTCAGCTGGAACTACGATTTTATTTCCAGCAGGGGTTAAAGCCAGCAAGTGCAAATCACATTTGTGAACATTACCCGTCTACACTGGATGAGACTATCCAGGTGGCAATGAAATTCGACCACGCTTGAAAGCGCACTATCATGTTGGATAAAGATTGGCAAGAGACGGCAACGTGTCACCGTTGCAAGAAGGTGGGTC